TAGCTTAGTCTAACACCAGAACACAGTACCTAATATCCATTGACTTTTCCTTGGAGTGCATTTGGATGCATTTGGATGCATCTAGGATGCATTTGGGGACAAAATGCACATGAGCATGGTAATATATTTTATGGTCCTTGCTACTATATTTTGCACCTTTTAGCTAAAATTAAATAAAATTCAGTAGAGAACATTATAGGTGCATAATAACTAGTAGGTGATACACAGCCTTTCCAGTTCACGCAGCACTTTTTTTTTTTTTTTGGCTTCCTGGCAATCCTAGCTGTTATCTCCCACTACGACCCACCCAAGTCCCAAGGAATCTTCTCCAGGTGCGGACCTTTCCTGAAGACCCATCCATTTTGGAAGCTTAATTCTGCGCCAAACAGGATATCCCGCTTTCCTCCTGGTTTCCCAACATCTTACTATTGGAGGAAAATCTGATAGGAAAGCCAGCAAACAGCCTGATTCCTAAGGGGCTAGCCCTCCATGGACAGGTGTTCATTGCTGAGGTGCCCCCTCTTACGGTGTGGAAGGTTTCCATAGACAAGCCTGGAGCAAGGGAACCTCCAATACACATGTGCAGACAAATATGCCTTCTGTAGAGTAACCGCATTCTCTCGGTGGGCCTGGGGGAATTTTCCTCTCCTTAAAAGGCAGCTGTTTCTCTTCCTTCTTTCCTTTCCCACTTAATCTAATTGGCAACTGCTTTTGTTCCAGCCCTGCCAGGGCAAAGTACGTACAGTAAGTCTTCAGCAGCTTTACTAGTCTGCAGCACCAACACTTTTGCGGTGTTACATAAAAACAGGTTAACACACTCTCGAAAGCATAGCATTGCTAAAACTCCTCCTCTTTGCACAACCAGGTTCAAATGCAGTTAGAAAAGAAAAGCCTACGTTATTCCTGCTCCTTTGAGATTGGTTCATTAAAAACAAATGCCCATTCACCAGGAAGGTTAACAGTATGTCTGTGCTGATTAAGTAAGAGAAGAATGTCCTCTTTAGCAGAGGGAGAGGGAGAGAGGGGAGCCAGTGCATCATATTTTCAGTTACCACCCTGCCAGAAATCAGCTTGCTGTAAGCCAAAGGAAGGTGAGCGTATTTGCCGTCTGTAAGAGCTGAAAACCTGGAATCTCCTACAACGCCCTCCATATTGAGAAGAAAGAAAGGTTTTGCAGATCGGCCTTTTTGATGAGGGCTATTAAATATATAAGGTCACTACAAGTGTAATTATCTTTCCAAATGACTACCATCATCATACTATATCTTTCTATAATCTGTTTTATTGTTTTAGGCTAGAATTACGCTATGTGCTCATAACTGGATCCCAATCGGTTCTCACCCTGAAATGGATGGATCTGTTGTTATCTGGGCTGCTCTTTTATGTCTGATGTTTTTGTTTCTTCGTCTTTCACTGTTAGCCACCCAGAGTCATTGACCTGAGATGGGCAGCCATATAAATTGGAGAAATAAGTAAATAAAGCTGCTGAAGCAAATCAAGATGTCAATAGATGCTGAAATTGTAAATATTGCCAGTGGGTAGCAAAAGACAAATCTTATTTATCCTTTAACATAGAAAATGTCAAAAACTTACCGTTATTATCCAACAGTTGCTTTAAGGTAAAAATCCAGGTCTTTTATACAACAGTTTTTATTTTTAAAAATGTTATTAATTTCAAAGTCTGGATAAAGCCCTAGCATCAATAGGCATCAGAAAAAGGGTAGGTCAAAATGCAATTTTACAGAAGTAGTACACTACAGTTTTTGAATTGATTTAACAGTGGCAGGAGATACATGTATAGTATATTTTGATTCCAGAATAGTCCAAGTAATTAAAGGTGCTCCTATTTTTGATCCAGAAAACTAGGACTTTATCGCATGACCAACACATATGAAAGAAAGACTCC